TTTTCCACTTGTTTGTGTCATCTTAGATTTCTTTGAGCAGAGTTTGTAGTTTTCATTGTAAAGGTCTTTCACATCTCTGGTTAGGAAGATGCCAAGGTATTTCATTTTATTTGTGGCTATTGTGAATGGAATTGTGCTTTTTATTTGAGTTTCTGATTGTTTATTATTGGTGTAAAGAAATGCAATTGTCTTTTGCACATTTATTTTATATCCTGAGACTTTACCAAAGGCCTTTATCAGTGTAAGGAGGTTTTTGACAGATTCTCTTGGATTTTCAACATACACAATCATGTCATCTGCAAAGAGACTTTCTCTTTTCCTATTTGGATACCCCTGATTGCCTTCTCTTCTCTGATTGCTCTAGCCTGGACTTCCAATACTACATTGAACAGGAGTGGTGAGAGTGGGCATCCTTGTCTTGTCCCAGTTTTCAGGGGAAATGGTTCCAATTTTTGTCCATTTAGGAGTATGCTGGCTGTGGGTTTCTTGTAGATGGCTTTTACTATTTTGAGGTATGTACCCCATATGCCCAGATGTTTGAGGGTTTTTACTACGAAGAAGTGCTGGATTTTATCAAAAGTTTTTTCTGCATCTAATGATATAATCATGTGGTTTTCGTTTTGACATCTGTTGTATTTAATTACATTATGGTTTTACGAATGTTAAACCAGTCTTGCATCCCAGGAATGAAGCCTACTTGGTCATGATGGATGATTTGTGAGATGTGTTGTTGAATCCAGTTTGCTAGGATCTTGTTGAGATTTTTAGCATCTATGTTCATCAAAGATATTGGCCTGTACTTCTCTTTCTTTGTTGGATCTTTACCTGGTTTCGGTATCAATGTGATGTCAGCTTCATAAAATGATTTGGGGAGGGTTCCATCTTTTTTAATCATCTGAATTACCTTCAGTAGGGTTGGAATCAGCTCCTCCTTAAATGTCTTGTAGAGTTCTGTTGGAAAGCCATCTGGTCCAGGGCTTTTTTTTTTTTTTTTTTTTTTTTTTTTT